TTAAATATTGAATCTTAATGTTAAATGTCATATGTTCTTTGTACTGTATTTAATATTGACCACTTATTGTTACCAGTCTATCACTGTTACCTGTCATGTCCCGCACTTTATGTCAGTCTGTAAAATGTCAGTCTTGTATATGTCTTGTCCTGGCATGGTATAGAGAGAAAACGTAATTTCATTTCCCTTGTATGTCTTGTTCATATGAAGAAAGTGAGAATAAAAACTGACTTGACTTGACTTGCTTGGAAAAAATCTTTCATTCCTTTTGAGACAGCATGAAAAGTACAAAACATAGAGAGGAAAACAACAAGAAAAGGGACAAGAAGAGAGGAACAAAACCTAGAACAAATAATGGATGTCTATTCTATTAAAATCTCTATCTGTGTAATGGGTCTGTTTTATGTACTGTCTTCTCAATTCAGAGGGCCCCCTGTCCGTCTTTGCCTAGGGCCCCAAATTTCTTAAATCCGCCCCTGGATGCAGTAAAGGTATTTCAGTCAGCTAGGCTGTAATAAGGAACTAAAATTGGTCTCCTGCAAAATATCAGCAAATAACAGTTTGGTTTTAACCTAGACTGATTAACATGAACTCATATAATCTGGTGCTTGAACAGATTCCAAAAACGAATATCTGGTATGCTGACTTACTGCACAGCAGACAGGGCAAAAGCCAAGCTATTTAGTTTCTGAATAGGAGGTATCACATAGGATAACCCAGTATTTAGACGGACCGCTCTCAGTCGGACAAACAGCTGAGGGTTGACTGAGCTTTTCATCTATTACCAGCACCATCAAATGTTCCAACGATTGAAAAACCTTTCATACAAATTTCTCCAAATGTCCCCCTATAGAATATAACTGTTCTGCAGTCCTGTCAATAGTGCATGGTTTATTGAAGCTTGATTTGAACTAGTCCATTTACTTTGTTTTATCATCCACATCAAGGACATAAGGAAAATGCTGACTCATCTACCACTTACTAGGGTCAAGAAAAGAAGGCAGTCTATTAACACACATCAAGAAATAATAAGCTTTACATTGTTTAATAGGTTAAACTACTAGGTGTGTTACTTACAGTCAGAAAACGAATAACCTTCTGTTTCCTTTGGCTCCCTCTCTTGTCATCTGCAAAGCAGCTCCCTCAGCAGAGAGGCTTTTATAGGCTGCAGATCAGTACACAGGGAGAGGGAGTTGCAACAGAGCCAGCAATCAGGAACTGCGGGTCTGTCCAGAGCATCAGCAGGTTGCCACATGCATGAACTCAGCACAAATGCAGACATGAGCACAGCAGCTTCAAGTAAAAAACAAACAAAAAAAACACTACCTTACCGTAAATCTTTTAATATAGGACGGGGCCTTTATTTCACTCATA